AAAGGTAAGCTCCAGTTAATGGAGCTACGCTTCTAATAACTTCTAACAGAGCCTAACATGATTTCCCAAGACAAGTGTCCCAGGGAACTACTGCATGTACAGTTATGGAAGGAACCACAATTCATTTTCATCCACATAATTCTGTATTATATGCTTTATTTATAGTTCATATCTTAATCTTATGAATGAATAGAATATTCTCCAAATATCAGTTTTATTCCTGATCTATGATAAACTGAAGAGCTCTGCAGAAGGCAAAGCCCACAGTCCATTTCTCATTGTTCTTATACATCTCTCCATAGAATAATAGTGATTAACAATTGTAACCTAAGCAGGTTGGCCTGCTTAAAATAAACATTAAAAAACTTAGTGACATTTCTTGGATCTGTTATTTCAAGATTGAAATGTATTTAAAATGCTCTAAATATAAAATCAATGTACTTTTACAAAATAAGAATATGGGGGGAGAAGAGATGGAGGTAAGGGAATATTTAGAAGGCAAAATTATTTTCCAATTATTTTTGGAAAATTTTTATTTGCAATCAAATCTTCTGTCACCCAAAAACGTTCCTACTAGGGAAACAGACATAATCATTCATTTTGGCTTGAAAAGTTGATTTACTGAATTTTTGTTAAAAATAAGGTAAAATAAAGCATTGGATTTGCAAAGTACTAGTATTTCTTGTTTAACATCTTTTAAGACAATTTTCATCCTTATAAATCCACATATATGTCATTTTAAACTCAAAAGGTGTTAAACAAATAATATCAGACAGAAGTATTGACAAATTATCACCTAATACTTAGAATTGTGCAGTGGAGTATTTCATGAATTAAATTTATCTTAGTCTAGAAAGTAGTATAAATAAACATTTAGGTGGAAAAAGTTTAAACATTAGTACATTAGTGATCACTGATTTAGATAAACATGATGAAATAGAGTAATAATTGCTTTAGATAAACACTAAAGAGTTTTTTGTGATTGTTCATTATAATTTAAAACAATGCAACAGAGAATGTAATCTGGGCTTGTTAACTTTTTCTTAATTAAGTATGTGAATATGACTACCCAATTATGCAGTGCAAGTGAAAAATAGTCTGCAATATTGTGGAATATAACAAGTTTAAAAACTTAGATACATCTTGTACTTTGGTCTTTGAATACTTTCTTTTTTCTTGAGACAGAGTCTCACTATGTTGCCCTAGGTAGAGTCACAGCTCACAGCAACCTCAAACTCTTGGGCTTAAGCAATTCTCTTGCCTAGGCCTCCCAAGTAGGTGGACTACAGGCATCTGCCACAACACTGGGCTGTTTTTCGGTTGTAGTTGTCATTGCTGTTTGGCAGGCCCGGGCTGGGTTTGAACCTGCCAGCTCTGGTGTATGTGGCTGGCACCCTAGCCGCTGAGCTACAGGCGCCGAACGGGCCTTTGAACACTTAAGATTCCACCTTTAAGTTAGAAGATGCTTACAGGAAATGTTACCCAAATTATTTTTTACAATTAAAATAAGCATAAGTTACCATGTAAATTTTGAATCTGGAAGCTCCTTTGCCTTAGATGTGTGACCCCTAAACATTGGTAAAATGGAGATGACCCAAGGAAATATGCCAGGAAACCCAAAACAAATCAGATAAAAGTTTCTTCTAGGTTGTTGACTAGCTTGCTTGTGATGAATAGCTTTTTCTCCTGTGGGGCTTTAATTTTCGCTAACCAAATGCTTCCTTACTGTTGGTTATTTATATAAAAAAAATACCTTGTATATCCATTTCCTATTTGCTTTAGGTGAACTTGAAATTTAGGTGAAGCTCTAAAAATAAAATTTAGATGTAAAATAAAAAGATCAATTTTTACAACATATACTTGAGTTTTAAAAAGATTCTGAAACCGCAATCAATGACTGCATTTTGTTTGGTTATTTTATCATATTATCACAATATGTTGTATGTGGCTTTAATACATACATACTGTAATTAAATCACAATATTTCATCATATTATCACAATACGTTGTATGTGGCTTTAATACATACATACTGTAATTAAATACACAGTGATTTTTCCTTATAGGACATTGCTTCAAAATGACTGGTAAGGGGTTTAACTAGAGCTACTAATAAATCTGAATTATAAAATAACTTTGAAGAGATGAGTTTATTACTTGTAACTGCATTATAATAAATTAGTTGTGTATATGTTATTTTCTAGAACAAATTGTGCGTTCTTAAAGGAAAAGGGAAATCCAGCGTTTGGCATCCTATCTGTAGTAGAGGAAATGGCTGATAAATATTTGGCTGAAAAAATGAATAATGAATTAACTAATGAACTCATAATGAACTAATGTATTCCCCTTAACAAATACACAAACAGCAATTTTTAAAAGGCACTACGTATCTCTGTTAAATTTTATATTTGTATATTGCATTACACTTTTCAAAATAAATTCACAAATGTTTCTGTGTTTAATCCTGATGATGAACCTTATGTCTAAAAGGCCATAGTTTTATTTTGAAAATAAGGACACCCAAGCACTGAGAGGCAACATTATGGATAGAATCCATGCCTTTTAACTGATTTCTCCATGATAGTTTTTCTATTCATAAGCACAATTTAGTTACCGGATTGAAGTCTGTCATAAGAGTCAAGTGTTTTATTTTGGTTTTACTATCTATTCCTTTTCTTGATGATTTTACTTATTCTAACTTTCTATTCTAAATTTCAGTACACACTTCTAATTATAAATGAAACAGAAATTAGAATGGAGTAATTTCCTGTGTTTTCTCTGCTGTAGTATCACAAAAATGTACTCATAAGTTGAATTTAAGGAAGATGGAGGTTTCTAGTTCAGACAATATGGCGGATTAAATACTCCAGTACAGAGATGGACAGATTATGCTTTGTGGCAGCCCAAACTGGGCATGCACAGTGCATACGCATGCTCCAAATCCAAGACCTCTGCATAAGGCCAAGAGCCTGCAGAGCCAACATACAAGGTGAGCTAGAGAGAAATTTCACTCTACAGAGCAAGGCTGTAGTTATACCTGCCTGTCTCAGCCTTGGCTCTAGGTAAAAACAAACAAAGGCACCTCCCCCCGCCCCCAAGTGTGTCCTGTCAATTCTTAATAATGAAGAATGGCATTCTACCTGATTTAGGGCTAGAAACCATAATGCCTATGTAGCCTGACCTCCTCACTCCCAGATTATCAAGTGGAAAATTTAAAGTGATCGTTGGGAAGTAACATCAGCAGTAGAGCAAAAGCAAACATAAATTCTCCTTGGAAGAATAAACTTCAAATTCACATCCTAAAAGATTTTTAGATATAAAGTTCCAGGGAACATGGGCTCAGTAAACAAGCCATCCCAAATACAAGAGAAGGGAAAAATAAACACATAAATCCAGAATCATGTCTACAAAACACTAACGATTTGGAAATATCTAGCACAGAATGTAAGATGTTTGCTTAATATGAATAAATAAATGAAAAAATATTGAGTGCATGATGAATGAACAAGATATTATCAAAAATGACCCACAGGCTGGAAAACAAAAAGGAATTTTCAAACTGAAAAATGTAATCATTTGAATTTGGCGAACTCAGTGGAATGGAAAATCAGGCCCACCAGGTTGGAAGCTGACTCAAAATCAACCTTGGAGACCTCACAGAATGGAGAGGGTTGAATGGACCTGAGCATGGAACACAGCAAATTTAGAACATCTTAGGGAGAGTGAAGGTTTTCATGGATGACATGTGTGGAAGGGAGGGCAGGGATTGGGGACAGGGTATGTAGCAGCCCAGGGCCGAGGGCAGGTGAGGGAAGAATCTTAAGTTCTGCTTTGGTTCCTCTTCCATTTTAACTGTCCTACTGACAGTATCCATCACTGGGTGAAGTGATCATTAAACTATGGTGGGTGGACGCATTCTAGAATACTGTGTTGTATAAAGTAATATGAATGTATTTTTTTTTTTTTGAGACAGAGCCTCAAGCTCTCCCCCTGGGTAAAGTGCTGTGGCATCACAGCTCACAGCAACCTCCAACTCCTGGGCTCAAGCGAGTCTCCTGTCTCAGCCTCCCAAGTAGCTGGGACCACAGGCGCCCACCACTACGCCTGGCTATTTTTTGGTTGCAGCTGTCATTGTTGTTTGGCGGGCCTGGGCTGGATTCGAACCCGCCACCTTAGGTGTAGGTGGCTGGCGCCTTAGCCACTTGAGCCACAGGCGCTGAGCCAATATGAATGCATTTTTCAAGAGCTTAATCAGAAAATCAAGCAGGTAACAGAACATTCAGAGCACGTACTTAAGGAAGGAGCAAATAAATGCTAAAATATCTTATTTACTTATTAATTATTTTATAATGTTATTTTAAAACATCAATTCCTTTTTTAAACACAGTAGCAAATTAATACAACATGAATTAACTGGGCTTTATTACCTACTTTGCCTATTGGTATATTGTATCATAGTTTATGTCAGATACTAATCATTTGGTATTACATATTTTTGAATCACTGACACAAGGGTTCTCTGATACTACATGTTTGAATCGTTGACACAAGGGTTCATGTCATATGAAATTACACTGCATTATGTAATGTTGTAATTCAAAATATTACACATAAACTGCATGTCCAAAAGGTCAGATGTCGAGAATAAATACTGCTACCTAGTTTCTCAGTTCATATAAATGGAAGCATTTAGGGAAGGGTTAATTGCAATGTTGGTATAACCCTCACAGTTTACATTAAGGCCACATGCTACAATCCAGCGCTGTAATGATTTCAACATTCACTACTAAAATAAACCGAATTCTACTGTCCAGGGCAGTTGCTGAATATATAATAGGTTTTGTGTTTTCTCATACATTAAACCTTATCAGTGCCTAACTTGAACAGGAGAGGTCTTATATGTGTATGACAAGAAATTCTATTCTATTGAGCCATAATATACAAAGCAATAAAGAGCATTTATAGATGATTAAATATTGAAGTGAAGTTGAAGCATTTAATCTACTGCAAAACTCATTTAATGTAAACATACCCTGGCAACATAGATATTATTGATATTATACTTGAAAGGAACATTTTCATCCAATGTAGCTCATGGAAATTTAATTTCCTTCTCTGAGAATTTGGAACTTGTTAGACTGTGCCCATTTCTAGCACAATTTTCCAGTAGTACACAAATTGCAATTTTACATATTACAGAAGAATCTTCAGTGACTTCTGAAAAAATCGCAGTGCCAAATCCATTGATGGAAGGTACATTTATTATAACAGGTGAAAATCACAGTAAACAGAAAGTAAAAATAACTATTTTGAGTTTATCATAAGTTTATTTTGATATCCATTTTCATGCCACCATCCTGGTTTATTTTATGATAAGCTTTGTGACCAAGTAAAAACTGAACTGACCTCAGATCAAATAGAAATTGGCACATTTTAAACAAATAAACAAAGCAATTACATTTGCAGAAATTCAAAACAAACAGATGTTCTTGGACATTTGGGTTAATTTTGACAGACTTCTTTTCTTTTGTTTTGGCTTCTCTAAGATTTTGCCCTGTACCTAAATAAAACCTCAGAATCTGGATACTCAATTCCAAATAACAAGCGGTTGTAGTTTGGTTTCACAGGCTTATCATCAATTAATTCTAAATCAAAGTAAGTTAAAAGTACAATCAACACTATCTTTATTTCCAAAACTGCGAAAAATCGGCCTGGACATTTGGTGGTTCCAGTTCCAAATGGCATCAGGTAAGACTTTAGCTTTTTCCCTCTTTTATAAAAAGTGGTTTTCTTCTTACCATCTTCGATGAAACGATCATATCTAAATTCCTGTAGAGAACAGAAGAAGAGAGTGTTAAATTCATGAATGGAATAGTTTGAGGTCAGATCCCCAAATCTGCCAGTTCTCACTGTCTATCTTAAAAGCCTTCTTTTAATCAGACAAGCACCAGAAAGCAAAACTTGACTATGTGCAAATCATGTGTGAGCTTTCAAAGAACTCAGATGCTACTATGTAGGAGTTACTTTTCCCGTATCACAGTGAAATCTGAACTTTTCTCCTTACTCATGTTTCTCTGTGATGTTGAGCTTCCTTGGTATAGAGGCCGTCTCTCTCTCTCTCTGCTCCATAACATGGGTCTGACATATGGGCACTTGACATAGTAATGTGGGGGGGGGGGAAGGGAAGAGCTCCTATGGGACTGTCATTGTCACCATGGACCAATGAATCCTACCAGCCACAGGAATTACCTGTCGGTCACTAATTTGCTTTTCTCCTATTTCTTCCCAACGGCTACTGATGAATGAGAACTATGAGTTTCGGAACCAATGCTTATATTTGGATTAAATAGACATAAAGTAATAAGATTCAGATAAAGCACTAGAGATTTTGCGGGACTAAGGCATGAAATCAATCTTGCTTGTTGTTTGAAGTTATGGTGTTTTTCCAGTGAAAGTTCTATTTGAATGAACCCTCTCTTGGGTGGCAGATGTTTCCAAGGTTTTCACAAATAAGTTATATTACTTGTTACAGAAAATTATGGAAGTGCTTTGCGAAGGGTGTTTGGCTCACCATCTTAATTTTGCTTTTCTGGCAATGGGTTGTGATTCAACTGTCACTTAAGTTTCTTTGAGGGTACTGAGTGACCTTATTTTAGCTCATGGTGAGTCAAACCATGATTTTTTTTTTTTTTTAATTTTTGGCCAGCTGGGTTTGAACCCGCCACCTTCAGCATATGGGGCCGGTGCCCTACTCCTTTGAGCCACAGGCGCCGCCCCAAACCATTGATTAAATTAATGCTCGTGGCTTGCACATAAATGACCAAGCATTTCCTATAGTTGCTGCTTATTAGCATTAGACCTGTTCAGCACACAACTTTCACATGAACTACTGAAGTTTAATGCAAAGAAGTGGATCAGAGCTAAAGCATTTAAGGTTGAGGTAAAAACCCAACAAATGAGGGCAGCGCCCATGGCTCAAGGAGTAGAGTGCCAGGCCCCATATACCAAGGGTGGTAGGTTCAAGCCCGGCCCTGGGCAAAACTGAAAGAAAAAAACAACTGACAAATGTGGATAGATTCTGAATCGATCACAGATGATCTAATTCTCTTACTCAATGCCACCGTTGTTACTGTCAGTGAATTAGTTCCTTTCAAAGTACTGAGTTTATCCTTCTTCACCTAGGACACTTATTTTGGTAGATATTTAAGCCTATAAAAACTTTTGAGCAGTTTCTATTCCCCACCAACTTGCAAGCTGATGCAATGATAATGGTAAAATTAATCTGCATTTTTATAACTTCTTAATCCCTGACAATGAATGCTTTGAGTCCTTTAGAACGTAAGTGTGCGTAGGTTACTACAGTTCTGGGATATAACCAAATAGCCTATAGTTCAGCCTTTAGTTCAGGGCTGAACTAAAACACCTTTTGTAGACATACGCTGTTACTGGAGATCGAATCACTATATGGGCATCTTCTGGGCACCGTCTTCCATTTCTGGGCCTTGGGCCTTTCCGAAGCCTACCTCTGCTGCTTCCTCCTCTCACTGACCACTCCAAGGAGACTTGCTCTCTCCCCCAGAGCTCCCTTCCTGGCCAAATCTATTTAAGTGGACTTTGCTATGAAAATTTGCTATGTTGGAAAGGTTTCACAGAAGCCCCAGTGGTTAAGCCAAAAATGCAAAAGGAAACCTTAGCTTAGGTTACGACTTTTTGGTGCCTTGATATCATAAATTAGCCTGAAATTGAGATGGCTTTCAAATTCTTTGTGAAACTTAATGCGTTCCCTCTGATTGGACAGTGGTGGGTTAACACAGGATGCAGGAATGCTCCCCGGTGTGACCTTCACTCAGTTCACATCTGACTCCCTCAAGCTTCCACTCAGCCATAAGGCCACTCTTCTAGTTTCCATCACCTTCTATCCCCATTTCTTCATATTAAATATCTTAGAAATTCCAATTTGGTTGTTTATTTTATGAAACTAAAAGGGAAATGGCCACTGTCGTTAGCTTTGCGATCACCATCAAGCTCAAACAGCCTACGGACATAAATACATTTTTGCATTAAAATTTATTTTCAGTTTGTTCTATTGCCAAGGCTTGGAGAAACTGAGCTGGAACCAATGTTAGGAAGGGTCTGTGGCAATCGCTAGGGGTATAGTTTGGTTTTAGTCAAAAAGCGGAGTATAATAATCTCACTACTGAGACTTTGGGGTCACAGTGACACAGGACAAAAGGTCAAGAGGCTCAAGATATATCCATTCATTTGGAGCAACTTAGACTTGGGGATCACCATGCTGGCTTACATTCTTTCCACTGATTATAATATGCTGGACACTTCACAATTAAAATGGGATGACGGGAACCGAGAAATTTCAACAGAAGGTGTCCTACACTAAGACTCCCCACTGTTCTCTGATGAGTGCAGCAACTGATTCACCAGTGCCATTCTTCTACACAGGACCTGTCTAGGCCCCAGTCCTGGTAATCACTGCTCCAGCCTCTGACTGGTTGGTGATAGGATGTATGAACCAATCTGGTCAGTGCTGCTGGGGAAAAGTATGTGGGGGCATCCACGAGAAGTTCTCTTCTTGTGAAGCAAGTACACAAAATGAAAAGGCTGATTACTATTCTTCCTCGGGTCCTAGTAATGTGCAATCATGATGTCTAGAATTGGTGCAGCCCCAGGCTGAAGACAGTACTAACCAAGCCCCAGGAGATGGCAGAGACAAGAAGTCCTAAGGGATTGGAGTTGTTACACCATCTGTATTTTTAGAGCCTCCAGAACAATGCTGTTTCCATAGTAGAGGTTCCATATGTGGTGTTTTAATTAATAAATACATGCATGAGAATAAAGTATACTTTAAAAACAATCATCAAGCTTTGGAAGAAAACCTGGATATTGGATGAATAACTAAACATGTAGAAAATGAAGAGCAAATGAATATTCAGTGTTTACAAACAGTGGAAAATAGTATAATACCGAAGTTCTATAAATCAAGATTGGATAGAGAACATATTCTTTTGGGTGAGGAAGAATTTTTGGCATACATGACAAAGGAAGACTGCTTAGCACCCTAATTTGTATTCTCCAAATACTATGTTTAAGTCAGCTTAACAGATTTTTTTTTTTCAATGTGAAGCATTGAAGTAGTAATTGCTCAATATACGATTGTTTCCTTGAATGTCACTAGTGGCAGAATCTCTATTTCAGTTAGAGAAACCGATGAAAAACTATTGAGAGTTATTTCCTCACCCATTGTGACTAGTACATTCTAAGAACAGTGGCAACAATCAAAATAATATTGATATCACAATTAGTACAGTAATTTACGATTTTCAAGGGCTTTTCAACTTATTTATTATTTTATTATGATAAATAATAAATAACCTAATGTGGAATTTCACAGGGTTAAACAGGACCTTTTAGCTTCAGAGCTTTTGGAAAAAATTTCAAGGTTTGGGAATCACATTGTTATTTCACTGAGTTTATTTACTTAGAAAGCACCATGGTTATAACAATGTGTTGCTATCTTAAGTGTTTTCATTTCTTCCCTACAAGCCCAACAATGTCATCAAGTCTGACTTTATCACTAAGTGCCCCTGGACCTAGGAAAACCAACCAACAGATGTGGGGTTTTTATAACTCCAGATCTGGACATTGCATTTTTGCAGAAAAAAAAAATCATCACGACTTACTAGTGATCATTCAAGAGTTAGTTGCATGAATCCAGGCTGATAAATGTGGGAAAGCCCTTAGAAAAAATTTAAAACTATTCATTCACTCCCAGCTAATAAATAGATCGGACGTTATTGGATAACATTTATACCTCTAAAGAGGAAGGAGAATAAAGAAGTGTTTCCTTTGCTCTCTTTCATTGTTTTAAATCTTGTTTGATAATTTGTTCTCCCCAAACCAAGAGCCACCTGAGTAGCTAATGTTACAATAAGCTAAGCAACCAGCATCCAGAAAAAGAATGATTCTTAGCACGGTGGTTACATGCTGGTAGCCCTTATAGGCCCAATTAGGTCTCAAAACATCTTTTCTTTATCTCATGCTGTGTTTTAAAATTTACTCTTCCAAATATTTAAAAATTCAAAGTGTCAGCCAAAAATCTTTTTTCCTTTCAGGTTATTATTAAGAAAAAAATCAAAATGATTTGTCCAAACCAGGTCTAAATGCTTGCAAGAGCTGGGGGCTAGTTCAGAAGTTATCTAGTGGTCTTATTTAGATGCCTCCTGGGGTCTATTTTTTGCTATAGTTCTTACCACTTCAACAGTATTTCTATATTTATTATTATTTTTTTTTGAGACAGAGCCTCAAGCTGTCCCCCTGGGTAGAGTGCTGTGGCATCATAGCTCATAGCAACCTCCAACTCCTGGGCTCAAGTGAGTCTCCTGCCTCCACCTCCCAAATAGCTGGGACCACAGGTGCCCGGCACAACGCCTGGCTATTTTTTTTTT